CATAGTATGGAGGGAACATTATGTTTGTCATTCCGTTTGTAACACTTCGAAATTTACATTTTAGACCCCAAAAAGTATTCATATTTCTATGTCGATTTAATGATGACCGTCCGTCTGTCCGTCCATCCGTCTGTGGAAATCACTTAAGCTTCCGAACGAATTAAAGAAGGTTGATAAATTTTTACTCAAAAGTCTGCAGGACTTTTGATATTTAAAAACAATTGTGTATACTGTTCCAGGCCTTCGTATAGCCCCTAAATATCGGTGCCTCCCTATATTCGGTGTTTTGATGATTTTAGCTTCATTACTCACCGGAATTGTTAAAATTTCATATTTGCGCATCGTAATGACCTTCGTATAGACCCCAAAATAACGGTAACTCCCTATGTACGGTATTTTTATTATTTTCACAGAATTTATAACGAATTCTATTTTTATTTATTATTTGTTTATTTATTTATTAATTTATTTTTTGAAAATTTCCAAATTCTTTCCAAATTTTTGGCAGTAAGTTCGGTCGGGTCGAACTTTGAATACCCTCCACCATTCGGAACGAATTTGGAAATTTAAAAAAAATAGGCATTGTTTATCATAAGCTATTACCATATTCAAATCCGAAACTTGAAATAAACGGTAGCTAAAGTCATCGGAGCTGTCCGAAGACATGGACCTGCATAGACAATTTTCTGTCACAGGCTGTAGCATCCATTACGAACTTCAAATACTACATCTCAAACAATTTCGGTGGGTATTGTACCTAAAATCTTCAAAATACCGCATATAGGGAGGTACTGATATATGGGGCCTATACGAAGGCCTGGACCTGCATAGACAAATTTCTGTTACAGACTGTAGTTCCCATAACGAATTCTAAATACGTAATTTGAAACAATTCTGGTCAATAATGACGCTAAAATCATCAAAATACCGATTATAGGGAGTTACCGTTATATGGGGGCTATACGAAGACGTGGACCTGCACAGACAATTTTCTGTCTTAGGGTGAAGTATCCATTTTGAACTTTAAATACCAAATTTGAAACTATTCCGGTGAATAATGCCTCTAAAATTATCAAAATAGCGAATATCGGGAGGTACCGTTATATGGGGGCTAAACGAGGACTTGGACCTGCACAGACAATTTTCTTCTTAGGCTGTAGTATCCATTTTGAACTTCAAATACCAAATATAACCTAATTCCGGTGAATAATGTCGCTAAAATTATCAAAATGCTCCATATCATATCCTCCATAGTATGGTGGAGGGTATAAAAGTTAATATAACCTCCATAGTATGGTGGAGGGTATAAAAATAGTCTAGAGGAGTTAAATCACACCATTTCGACGGACAATTGACCAGTACGGTAGTGTAATAAACTCGCCTCTCAATAAATGTTTCTTTCACGAGCTGTGTGGCTAGCGGCACAGTCTTGTTGAAATTACATTGCAATGTTCTCGCAATTTAGCTACACCAAACCGACGATTCTGCTTCAGATTGAATACCGACGATTTTGGTTCTTTACTAACCTATTGAGCTAAAAATGAGCTTCATCGCTGAACAGAATTTTTCGATAAAAAATGGATCTTCGGCCAACGTTCCAAAAGCCCATTCAGCAAAATTTCTGCGTTGCGGTTAGTCGTTCGATTTCAATGCTTGCACTAACTGTATTTTGAAAGGCTTCACATTTAAATCCCTTTAATCCTTCCGTAAAAACTTCTACATTGTTGAGGAACAAAGGCCAATTCCCGAGAATTTCATGCCAAACTATTTTTAACAGCGCTTCATATTACTCTCTGCTACAAAATTCTACTTTTTCAATAATTACGGAGAATATCCTGGAAATTATGATAGTAGAGCTAAAACAAATAATGGCACGTGTATCGGCGTTCTGAAGGTTTACATCGAAAAGTAACGAAATTGAGGGGGAAGGGGGGGGGGGGGTGATGTAATTGGACATTTTCGGATTAAGACTCCTCGGAATCTGTCAATTTTATGTGTATATTGTCTTTAACAATATTGCGAATAAACATATGAGGAATATTTTGGTCGAACATTTTAAGCCATCTGGGAGTCAAGAAAGGGATATTTTCGGTTCTTTTTTATATACCCTCCACCATACTATGGAGGGTATATTAATTTTGTCATTTCGTTTGTAACTCCTCGAAATACTCATGTCAGACAGAACAAAGTATACATATTCTTGATCAGCATAAAATTCCTAGACGAATTAGCCATGTTCGTCTGTCTGTTTGTCTGTCTGTTGCAATGACGCTCTCTTTCGAACAAATTGAGATAGAAGGCTAAAATTTTGCACACATGTATATTTTGCCAGTAGGCAGGTTAAATTTGTAAATGGGCCATGTAGGTCCACGTTATCATATATCCCCCATATAACGGTACCTCCTGATATTCGGTATTTTGATGATTTTAGCGACATTATTCACCGAAATTGTTTCGAATTTGGCATTTGAAGTTCGTAATGGATACTACATCCTAAGCCAGAAAGTTGTCTGTGCAGGTCCACGTCTTCGTATAGCCCCCATATAACAGTACCCCCTATATTCGGTATTTTGATGATTTTAGCTACATTATAAACAGATTTTTCTTCAAGTTTCGCATTTAAATATTGTAATAACTTATGACAAAAGTTGCCTATGCAGGTCCACGTCGTCGTATAGGCATTCGGTTTTTTAAGATTTTAACAGAATTTTTAACGGATTTTATTTTTATTTTTTTTATTTATTTATTTTTTTTTTTTTGGAAATTGCCAAATTTGTGACAAATGGTGGAGGGTATTAAAAGTTCGGCCCGGCCGAATCCGGCCAAAATATTATAAAAAAAAATTTTGTAATGAATTTTTACTATGGTCCTTAGAAGATTTCAATAGTCTAAATCTTACCTAGAAGCACATTTTAGGGTTAAATAAATACTTCATGTGATTTTATGCAAAATTCTCCAATAAAACAAAATTCTAGAAGGATGACGTCAGAGACAATGAAAATCGGCCTCATCGAAATAACGGTTTAAGACCCTAGGTCCCTTTGTACTATTTGGTCCAACCTACGTTCACCGTATTTTATTATCAAACTTAGATCGAGTTTGGAGATGGGCCATATAGGTCCACTCCTTCTGGTAGCTCTTCCTCAAAAGGTCAACATTTTCAGAGAAAATAAATTCCTTACAGAACATGAGAGAACCATACAATTTTGCATTGCAAAACCTAATATTTTTATGAGTGGTAATTTAAGTGTAACAAGTTAAAAAGCAGTAAGTTCGGCCGGGCCGACATTTGATTACCCTTCACCATCTAAAACGAATTTGGAAATAAAATCCTTTAAAAATTTTGTTAAAATTTTAAAAATACCGAATATAGCCGTTATATTGGTGCCTGTACGACGTGGACCTACATAGGCATTGTTTGACATAAGTCATTACCATATTCTAATTCGAAACTTGAAATATACGGTGAATAATGTAGCTAAAATCATAAAAATATCGAATATAGGGAGGTACTGTATATCGGAGCTATGCGAAGTCCTGGACCAGAATAGACAATTTTCTGTCATAGGCTGTAGCATCCATTTCGAACTTCAAATACGACATCTCGAAAAATTTCGGTGGGTATTGTCCTAAACTCGTTAAAATACCGAATATAGGGAGGTACTGATATATGAGGCCTATACGAAGACTTGGACCTGAACATACAATTTTCTCTCTTAGGCTGTAGTATCCATTACGAAACGTCAAATAACAAATTTGAAGCATTTCCCGTGAATAATGTCGCTAAAATCATCAAAATACCGAATATCGGGAGGTACCGTTATATGGGAGCTATATGAAAACGTGGACCTACATGGCTCATTTTCGAACTTAACCTGCCTTCTGGAAAAATAAACATGTGTGCAAAATTTTAGCCTTCTATCTCAATTCGTTCGTGATTACAACAGACAGACAGAGGGACAGACAGACGGACAGAACGACAGATGGACAGACGGACATCGCTAAATCGACTTAGAATTTTACGCTGATCAAGAATTTTGTTTGGTCTGACATGAGTATTTCGAGGAGTTACAAACGGAATGACAAAGTTAATATACCCTCCATAGTATGGTGCAGGGTATAAAAATAGAATATATCGGGCCACACCTTCAGCCCACTATATCTGGTACCTCACGCACATTTCATTTTCAAAAAATGATCACATATCTTATATAAAGTAAGGGAAGTAGACGCTACAGTCCAAATCTGAGACGATGTAATATTTATATCAGACTCGCTCAGATACGAAATGGAAAATATTGGACCATTCCTTCTTTACCTTCCCCATGAAGGGGCAACATTTTGAATAACCATAACGCAAGTCTAAATATTTCTAATGAACGAACATTGGCTAAGGATATAAATTTGTCGGAATCCCATTTATAATTTAGAAATCGCTTACTGCACAAAATTATGGCCTTAAGGTAGGATAATCATTTTAGAAGCGCTCCAAACGACTCTGACAAATTTCTAAACTCTAATTAAACTATTTTGAGGTCGAGGGCTAAATTTTTGGGAACTAAGTCGTTGGTCGAGGTTATGAGTACTCAAAGCCCTTTTGAATTATTTATCTACTGACCTAATTTTGTTAATTTATCCTATGCGATCAATTACATTGCGACTCAATCCACACACGTATAAACATACATATTACCTTCTCGTCTCCGCTGTGTAATACACATATTAACCTAATTAAGAAATTCTTCGAAATCTTCCACTAGCAGGCAATTACTTAAATCACTTTGTTAAACAAATAAACGAAATTATTTTACTGTGTCTGGAAACTTTCAAGGTAAAAGTTCGGTTTGATTTATGTTTTAATTGTTTTTTCTTTCTTTCTTCTTCTTCGTTTTTTTTTTTTTTTTTGTATTGCATTTGCCTCCCATTCTAAAAATATTTCTTTTTTTATTTTTTAACTACAAAAAGTAAAATTATCGTTATGTCTTCTTTTTATTTTACAGATTCTGGGAAACCGATTTGCGTACGGTACGCAAAACCAATCGTTCTACTATGCGCCAGCGGCGTGGTGGCGGACCGGGAGCTGGCGGTACTGGTACATTCCGTGACAAATTGTTGAGGTAAGTAATTTCAAGTTGTAGGTTATATACCAAGGCGGGAGTACATTTTGAAAGCTTTTTATGAGAGGCCCAATAAAAATTGGCAAAGGGGAGGGTTCCAAGTTGTTTAAAAAAAAACGATTATTGAGAGTAGAGAAAGGAATCTCATAGCAGACAGGTTAACCGATAAAATAATTTTTTTGGGAGTTTAAAATCAATTTGAAATATGCCCTCTATGAAAATTGTGGTTTTTCAAGATATTTCTGGAAAAACGACTGTAAGGCAATTATCACATTGGACTTTGATATTATATTTTGGCTGGCTGACCAAAAAAAATAATTTTCTTAGGCTCTTGAAAAAAAATGAAAATAAATGGAATATGTCCTCTGTCAAAATTGTGGTTTCCCAAGAAAATAAAAAAAGAATCTATTAAGAAATTCTCATTTCGGACTCCATTATCCACATTAAATTTGGGTTTTCAAATTTCGTTCATTAATAGTAAAACATTTGTCAAAATGTTTTCAAATACACCTTGACAAAACTATGTGACATTACAACAAGTAAAAAACATTAAGTTCGGCCGGGCCAAACTTTTAATACCCTCCACCTTAGGGTAAAAGAAACATTAGAAGAAATGTGACAAAAACCATAAAATTACCGAATATCGGGAGGTACCGTTATATGGGGGCTATACCAAAACGTGGACCTATAATTACAATGTTTCGCTACACGAAATAGGACCCATTATGACCCACAAATACCAATTTTTAGACAAATCAGTGAAAAAATGTGGCAAAAACCATAAAAATACCGAATATCGTGATGTACCGTTATATGGGGGCTATATCAAACCATGGACCCATGCATGCAATGTTTCGCCACCGGAGCTTGAACCCATTATGACCTACAAATACCAATTTTTAGACAAATCCGTGAAAAAATGTGGCAAAAAAAACTAAAATACCGAATATCGGGAGGTACCTTTATATGGGGGCTATACAACAACGTGGACCTATACATGCAATGTTTTGCCACACGCTCAGGGACCCGTTATGACCTACAAATACCAATTTCCAGACAAATCCGTGAAAAAATGTGGCATAAATCATCAAAATACCGAATATCGGGAGGTACCGTTATATGGGGACTATACCAGAACGTGGACCGATATTTCTCATTTTCAATACCAACCATCCTAGACACAATGCAAATAGCTCTGCTAAATTTTGGCGCTCTACGTCAGATAATGTGGGCTGTATCGTGGTTTCAACAGACAGACAGACAGACGGACAGACAGACAGACGGACATCGTTAAATCGACTTAGAATTTTATGCTGATTATGAATATATATACTTTATGGGGTCTAAGACGAATATTTAAGGATGTTACAAACTGAATGACAAAGTTAATATACCCTCCTTTCCAAGGTGGAGGGTATAAAACAACAACAACATCTGCATCCAGATACCCTCATAGAAATGTGTACCATATTCAGTCACCTGTATCGATGGCGGAAATATTTTCAATTTCATATTTAATCAAACTAAAAGGGGGCTACATGCATCAGTGGTGCTCTCAATTACACTTACGTACAATAATATTTCATGTGAGTATACGTACAGGGTGAGATAAAAAAACAACTGCAACAAAGTCAAACGCCATAATTTTCACATTTTTTTTTTAAATTTTATTGAATGAAAGCAAAAGATTTCGGAAATAGCATCAAATTTTAGAATAAGTTTAGATTTGTTCGAATTGGTCACCTTCGGCACGAATTATGACCTTCAAACGGCAAATGAAACCGTCACACGCTGCCCGAATGTTGCTCTGCGGTATTTTTTCCCATTCTTGGCGAACCGCTTCCTTGATCGACACTTTGGTATTTTTTAGTGCCAACCTTGCTTTTCAAAATACTCCAGACACAATAGTCCAACGGATTGGTATCCGGAGATTTTGGTGGCCATTGTGCGCTGCAAATGAAGCGAGGAACCTTATTTTGTAACCGTTCTTGGGTGGCGTGTGCTGAGTGCGATGGTGCTGAGTCCTATTGGAATGTCCAAGGTCTGCGGTCAAAATGTCTGCGTGCCCAAGGCTTTAATACACCCTCCAGAATATTTTCGCGACAATATTCGGCATTTATTCTAATGCCGCGGTGAAATGAAGCGAGGGACCTTAGTTTGTAACCATTCTTGGGTGGCGCGTGCTGAGTGCGATGGTGCTGAGTCCTGTTGGAATGTCTAAGGACTGCGGTCAAAATGTTTGGGTACCCAAGGTTTTGATACACCCTCCAGAATATTTTCGCGATAATATTCGGCATTTATTTCGATGCCACGGTCGATTAATACGAGCGGAGAGAGACCATCGGCTGTTATAGTGGCCCACACCATCACCATGGCCGGCGCTTGAGTTATGGTGGCCAACCAAAGGTGCACATTTTAGCTGACCTCTTTGGCAAGTAAATTCGACCATTTTGTTTGTTTACAAACTGCTGGACAACGAATGTTTTCTAATCGGAAATAATCAAATTCGGAAGTTGGCAACATTCGGCCAAGCCAAGCAACTCTTTAGCTCTTTTGAGTCTATTTTCTTCCTGTTGCGGTGTAAGTTCTTTCACTTTTTGGAATTTCAATGGTTGTACACCGAGCTCATTTTTCAATATTGGCCGAATGGAATATTGCGATATGTTGAGCTCACGAGCTATTTTTCGGCCACAGCGACGCGGACGAGTGGCTTAGCTGTCGGACGAGTGGCTTAGAAATGAAAGCAGTTTGAAGTTGGTTGCAGGTTTTCCTTCTCACACTGCATGTATGTATCCATGTATGAATTTGTATGTGTGTGCATGAGCATCATATGTATGCTTGTATACTTCGTTTGAAAAACGTGCCGCTCTGCCAGTTGAAAGGATTCCGCAAAAACCAGAAGCCTCAACAATGTAACAAATATCAATTACTTGGTGCTACATAATAGTTTTATACATATGTATAGAATGTTTATGTGTGTGTGTGAGTGTTTACATAGCACACACACTTGCGTTGGCACCCCAACGCACATACACTCGCACATAAACCACACACAGATATCGTGTAATAAGATTAAATTTTATGTTGCATGAATGTTTACCACAGTTATTATTACTGACGCTGTTGTTGTTGTTATTATTATTCTTTTTATTATTATTATGGCGTGTATTATTGATTTGTATTTGTTTTTGTTATTGCAACTAAATATAATTGATTACAGGGTAAGCGGTTGTACGAGTAGGTGTGTGTGTGTGTGTGTATGGAGGCAGTACATTGTTATATTTAAAAACACTGACATGCATTTAATGAGGGCTCTATAATTATTTCATACATACGAACACAGCAGTTATGTTCGTAGCCATGTGGTGACAAAATGCCCAAAGGCTAGCTAAATGCTCCCTTTGATTAGTACCATTGTTAAATTATCATATCAATTTACATAACGCCTCAGGTGTTTCATAATTATTTCAAACAACAACAACAACAGCGGCAATAACAACAAATGGCAAAATGATTTAAACTTTGATTTTCGATTGAATAACAAAAAATGTTAAATTTATTATTATTTAATTTCCCTTTAGCGGTTATCAAGGTCTAGAGGAACATCGCAGCCCTGAGATGGACAGCGTTTTGGAACAAGCTCTAAAAGAGGCCGAAGATGATGTTACCTTCAAGAAGGTGAAGCGAATGAGTTATTCTAGCAATGCTGCTGGAGAGGTGAGTAAGAATGTTGAATAATCATCAAAATACCTTGTAATTTTATCAGAGAGCAGATTTGCTCGTTTCCCTCGGGAGAGAAATTTTTTTACGGAGTTTACTATTCACTCTTATGTTTTTTACGGGAGCGCTTTCTGTACTGGTACTGGTTATATTACTTAGTGGGTGCACTCCTCCTTCTAAAATGGCAAACATATGTTTGAAAAATTAGAGTAGGGGCAGAATAGCTCTAGGAGCGACATCGAGTGGGAGAAAAAATAGTTTTCTTATTTTCGTGTGTGTGTAGGAGTTGCTGCGGTTTGAAAAAAAAAGAAATGCAAAAAAATACAAGATCGAAATGACAACACATTTTAATTCGAGTGCTCGAAAAGAATGGAATCTACTCATTTTCGAGTATTTTTCCCCATTCTAGAACGAGAAGTACTAGTTATATTACTTAGTGGGAGCACTCCTCCTTCTAGAATGGGAAAAATACTCCAAAATGAGTAGATTCTACTCTTTTCTAGCAATCGATTTTTCCAACAACTCCACTTATATGAAGTTTTAAATGAGTTTAACGTGTAGGGATATATCAGAGGGAGAAACATATCTATATATAAAGGAACGTCGTTTTAGTTGCACTATTTATAACTCAAACAAGTAAAAAAAAACATAAAGTTCACCCGGACCGAACTTTTAATACCCTCCACCATTGGGTAAGTAAAACCTCTTTATGAAAAATTACTGAATTCAAACATGTTCCACTTTAAACTTCAAACACCAGTAAGATCGTTTTTTTGTTTTTAAACTTTTCAAAAAACCACAAAGTGGGTGAGGTCGTTATATGGTGGGCCACACAAAAACGGGAACCTATATAGGCAATTTTATACTTTAAGGATTGTCATCTACCAAATATTCTTAAATATCAAATTTGAAACAATTTCGTAGGTAAATGTGGCTGGGATTATCAAAATACCGAATATCGGTGGTATCGTTATTGGTGTTATCGTTATATATGAGCTATAGGAAAGCGTGGACCTAAATATTAAATGTTCTGACGCCGGAACTAGAACCCACTATAAACTACAAATACCAATTTTTGACAAATTCGTGGGAAAATGTGTCAAAAATTATCAAAATACTGAAAATCGAGAGGTACCATTATGTGGGGGCTATACGAAACCGTGGACCTATATTTACTATGTTCCGTCTCAGAAGCTAGAACCCACTACAAATACCAATTTTTCGAAAAATCGGAGAAAAAAGGTAGCAAAAACTATCAAAACGCTGAGTTTCGGGATATACCAAAATGTGGGGCAATACCTGTGGTGAGATAAAAAAAAAAACTGCAACAAATTTCAGACTGCTGTCATTTTTAAGCCACTCATCCGACAGCTGTAAAAATTATTCCAGTGACAGCTCATTATATTGTTTACAAGCGAACAAAAGCATTTTGGTGACAATTTTCCAATAGAAAAAAATTATTCGTGATGGAATTCAAGCGTGATAGTGTGATTTCTTTATATTTGGCTGAAAAACCCCAAGAGGCTATCGTTAGAGCACACCAGCATTTAAATATGAATACATATTATGTGTCTCGTACCATCGCTCGTTACCGTGGACGGAAGAAACCAGCAACATCCGCAGAAATGTTTCGAAAAGTAAAGAAGCGATTTGCTCGAAACCTGCGCCGCAGTGGCCAAAAAATTAAATATTGAAAGAAGATCTCGGGGTAAAGTCTTTGAAATTCCAAAAAGTGCAAGAACTTACACCGCAACAGAGAGAAAATAGACTCAAAAGAGCTAAAGAGTTGCTTCGCTTGGCCGAAAGTGGTGAACTGCCGAATTTGGGTTTCTCCGATGAGAATACATTCGTTGTCCAGCAGTTTGCAAGCAAACAAAATGATCGTGTTTACTTGTCAAAGAAGTCAGATGAAAATGTGAACCTTCGGTTGGCCACCAGAACTCAAGTGCCTACCATGGTAATGGTGTGGGCCACCATAACAGCCCATATTATCGCGAAAGTATTCTTGAGGGTGTATTAAAGCCTTGGACACGAAAACATTTTGGCCGTAGACCTTGTATATTCCAACAGGATTCAGCACCATCGCACTCAGTACGCGCCACCAAAGAATGGTTACAAAATAAGGTTCCAAAATCTCCGGATACCAATCCGTTGGACAATTGTGTCTGGACTATTTTGGAAAGCAAATTTGGCACTAGTAAATACCAAAGTGTCGATCACCTCAAGTAAGCGCTTCGCCGGGCATGATCCAAAATACGGCAGAGCAACATTCGGGCAGCGTGTAAGCATATAGGGCGAGCGGATAGAGCTGAAATCCTAAAATATGATATGGATGTCACTATTGGTGTCTGTGATTAAGATATGAAGGTGCTTTTTGAAGAGTGAATAAAAATTGTTCTAAATGTACTAAGTGACACAATATCTGGTATTGGGTGAAACTATAGATCTGGAATACCGAAATTTGTTATTGAGTTTAAATATGGAGGTGGTTTTTGTAATTGTATTCTTTACTAATCTAGGATCACTGTTGGTGTCTGTAATAGAGAGATATGGATTGTTTTGGATATGCGTTCTAACTAAATGTTACTAAATTTGGTATTTGGTAAAGAAATACAGCTCAAATCCTGTTGGTTTCTAGGATTTTCATATGGAGTCTTTGTTTTGACAGAAATATTGAATGTGGGTCCATTGTGCTATAGTTTTTCTAATAACTTCCTCAGCAAACCTCAAAATGATAGATTTTGAACATTTTTTGGTGCAAAACTCCTTTTTTTCGAACACTCCCGCTAGAAAATATGTTTTATTAGGGAAGGCTAAATACGTTCCATGTAAGAGTCGTAAAGCGTCATTGGGATCGATTTGATATGCGGGTATTGGGGGAAGCTAGTATCATACTTCACATGGTATTTAATTTTATTAAAATCTCTCACATCCAACTTGTATGTTGAGTCTACATAAGAGTCCTGCATTTCCTGTTTTTTCCAGATTCACAAATCTTGTTTTCACATTTAAGTCCATCAAAATTAATCCATTTATTTTTGGCATTTATTTCTCCCACCATGCCATCATTGTGCGTTTTCCAATAGCCTTCATTATTCCACGTTTTTTTTTTTTTTTTCCTAAGAAGACCCCCATCAGCAAATGTTCTTTGTTGTAGACATCATCATTAGTAGTTACTTAACCAAAAGCATATTTATTCCGCCAACATGACAAATGATTCCTTTTTAAATCTAAAGCTACGAGTAATTCTCTGTGTTCTCTTTTGGCATTGCGAAGGACTATTGTTAATTGCAAACAATTGCCGAAAATAGTGGCGAGGGGAAAATGAACAAAAAAACGCAAGCATTTTTTGTTGGTCGGAAACCAACATGAAAGGTATTAATTGTGCAATTCCTTTGGCAGCGGTGACGGTGGCCAACAATGACGACGACATAGACGACTGGCAATTCAAGCGTGGCATCAAACGGTCTGTTGGTCATTACAGAGTCATTTATTAGCACCCCATTCAGGGGCCACAGAAAAAAGTGCGGCACTCTTGATCTAAGCTAAGCTAGGGATGGCTTCACTGTGGACAATGCCCTCTCTGTTCGGATATCTCTCACAGATGACATGGTGAAGTTCAACAAAAACCCGAGCAAAAAAAATGGAGATACTATAAACAATAGGAAATTATAAATCACCAAAGCGAGAAACTGCAGCAAAAAGCCAATGGAAGACAAAAACAGTGCCGGACCGGCAAAGCTCTGGAGATGCATTTTGTTTTTTGACATTGTCTTTCGTTGGATTCCCTAAATTTGCAGTAACTCCCTAGCATTTTAAGTTTGTCTCCTCCGTTGCTTTTTTTGGAGAGGGAATTTAGAAAGCAAAAAAAATCCGGAGGATACTGTTTTTTGGTTTGGCTACAATGCCCTGAAATACCCTGGGTCTTTTTCCGAGTTTCATGTTATCAAAGATTTATTTGTGGCGAAAAGGTCACAGGGCAAGAAACACTGCTGCAACCACACATGAATAAGGTGGTCCACTCCCTAGAACTGGACATAAAAAACACAGCCGACTATCCCCACAAGAATGTGCAACGGGAAAATTAATGCTAAACGGAAGTTAGACAGCGTAAATGAAAATATCTGGCAAAAGTCTCAGTACAAAGGTCATTGTGAGCACTCAATCTTTGTTGGAAAATTTCACAAAGACCCAGATGAGATGAACAGGGGGGACTGACCACTAATGGGAGTTGGGTTTTGGTTTTTTGTTTCTGTCGGCTTTGTGGCAGAAGTCTTCAATATTACTTTGCAGTTAAGGTTCAATGGATTTTCAATTTATCACCCGGTTTTCTTTGTTCAACAGACAATGTCAAGTTGGCGGTGTTTAAAAACAATTTGCTGGCGCAGGTGGGAGGACTATGGGGTTAAATCTATATAAATTAAAGAGTCAGGGTACAAAATTGGCAGACTCATCAGGCGACACGATTGAAATTTTGAAATTTGGTACAAAACTTACAAAGGCTCTAAGAGGCACAAAATCTATTAACATGAGGTAGAATATTTAAAAATTCGTACCTTAATGATACAAAACGTACTAGGAAGTATAAAATATAGCAACTTATTTATCAAACGATAACAGGGTACGAAAGGTTCTAAAAGCTACAAACAGCTATATTTTCAATATTTACTACAGCTATAACTATTAAATGAGAAATATTTGAAAATTCGTATTTGAGGCTACGAAAAAGAACTAAATAGTACAAAATAGTACAACTGTGGTAACTAAATATTTATTAGAACTAGAATTTCTCACTCACTCTAGGTAGGGAGAACTAAGATTTCGGTAAAAATTCTTTACTCTTAGTCACTAAAAGGTACAAAGAGCTAAAGTTTTTGAAAATTCGTACCATAAGGGTACGGTAAGTACAATAAATATTTTTATATATCCTCCACCATAGTATGGAAGGTATATTAAGTTTGTCATTCCGTTTGTAACACCTCGAAATATACATTTTAGACTCCATAATGTATATATGTTCGATTTAGCAATGTCCGTCCGTCTAATCGTCTGTCGGTCTATTCGTCTGTGGAAATCACTTTAGCTTCCGAACGACTTAAAGTAGATTGATAAAATTTTACTCGAAAGTATATTATGTCTGCAGGACTTTTGGTATTGAAAATGGTCCATGTAGGTTCACGTTTTGGTATAACCCCCATATAACGGTACCTCCCGATATTCGGTATTTTTGATGATTTTAGCGACAATATTCATTAGAATTTTTTTCAAATTTAGCATTTGAAGTTTGTAATGAATACTACAGGCTAAGGCAGAAAATTGTCTGAGCAGGTCCACCTCTTCGTAAAGTCCCCATATAACGGTAACTCCCGATATTCTGTATTTTAATGATATTAGGAACATTTATCACCAGAATTGTTCCAAATTTTGTAATTAAAGTTCGTAATGGATATTACAGCATAAGACAGAAAATTGTCTCTGCAGTTTCACGTCTTCGTATAGTCCCCATATAAGGGTACCTCCTAATATTCGGTATTTTGATGATTTTAGCGACTTTATTCACCGGAATTTTTTCAAATTCCGCATTTGAAGTTCGTAATGGATATTACAGCATAAGGCAGAAAATTGTATCTGCAGTCCACGTCTTCGTATAGCCCCCATATAGCGGTACCTCCCGATATTCGGTATTTTGATGACTATAGATACATTATTTGAACATTGTAATGGCTTATGACAAAAGTTACCTATGCAGGTCCATGTCGTCGTATTGACCCTAATACAACAGCTACATTCGGTATTTCTAAGATTTTTACAGAATTTTTAACGGATTTTATTGTTTATGAGAATTGCCAAATTCGTTCCAAATGGTGGAGGGTATTCAAAGTTCGGCCTGGCCGAACTTACAGCTTTTTTACTTGTTTTATAAAATACTCGTACTTTAACATTATAAAGACTCTAATTGGATACAGAATCTAGTAACATGAGCTGAACTTTGAATTTGGGAATATTTGAAAATTCGTACTGTAAGGACACAAAAAGTACTAAAAAGTACCAAATAGTACAACTTATCGATCAATCTCATCTAGAACTTTGAACTGTACCTCTGTGGACAGCCTTAGGCGAGACGGGCTTAAGATTACCGTGGATTCAGTTAAGGCAAACATTTTATAAATTCGTTCATTGACAATATTGTTACGGAAAGTTCGTTAAAAGTGGAACTTTAAAACTTGGCATTTTGATCATAATCGGGTGATATTTGACGAAAACTACGAAAAGGTAAGGTATGATGCAATAATAGTAGAACATTGTTTTTATCCGGTGAGAGCTAGAACCTTAAACGTGGGCCACTTCTGGGTATATAAGATGAAATAATTGGGAATTGAAAATTCGTACACTTAAAGTGCGAAAAAATACAAAATGGTAAAATATTTTCATATTTAGAAAATTGAAATTTTATGGTTTGTAACGAATTACATGGTGAGAAAAACCGTTCAACTAACTTCAGACTGCTGTCATTTCTAAGCCACTTGTCTGGCAGCTGTTAAAATTATTCCAGCTCATTATATTGTTTACAAGCGTACAAAAGCATTTTGGTGAGAAAAAAGTTATTCGTGACGAAATTCAAGCGTGATAGTGTGTTTTCCTTATATTTGGATGGAAAATCACAAGTGGCTGCTGTTAGAACACTCCAACATTTAAATGTGAATAAATCGTTTGTGTCTCGTAACATCGCTCGTTACCGTGATACTGGCAACGTAGACCGATGTCAAGGAAGTTGACGGAAGAAAACAGCAACATCAGCAGAAATGGTTCGAAAAGTAAAGAAGCCCATTGATCGAAATCCGTGTCGGAGTGGCTGAAAATGGCTCGTGAGCTGAAAATATCTCAATATTCCATTCGGAAAATATTTTAAAAAACGAGCTCGGGGTAAAGCCATTGGAATTGAAAAAAAGTGAAAGAACTTACACCACAACGGAAAGAAAATAGACTCAAAAGACCTAAAGAGTTGCTTCGCTTGGACGAAAGTGGTGAACTGCCGAATTTGGTTTTTTTTCCGATGAGTAAACGTTCATTGTCCAGCAGTTTGTAAACAAACAAAATGATCGTATTTACTTGTCAATGAGGTCAGCTGAAAATGTGCATCTTCGGTTGGCCACCAGAACTCACGCGCCGGCCATAGTGATGTAGTGGGACGCCATAACAGCCGATGGCCGCTCTCCGCTCGTATAAATCGACAGTGGCATCAGAATAAACGCCGAATATTATCGCGAAAATATGCTGGAGGGTGTATTAAAGCCATTTTGGCCGCAGACCTTGGACATTCAAACAGGACTCAACACCATCGCTCTCAGCACGCGCCACTCAAGAATGGTTATAAAATGAGGTTCCTCGCTTCATTTCCAGCGCACAATGGTCACCAAAATCTCCGGATACCAAACCGTACATTGGACTATTGTGTCTGGAGTATTTTGAATAGCAAATATATATATGGAAGCTACAGCTATTCCTGAACCGATTTTCTCCAAACTTGATTTACTTGCTTCTAGACGGAATTTGGTGCACAATTAATCTAAATCTGATTCGATTATCACCAATTTCAATAGATTTCCTCCTTGAACCAAACAAGTATTGTTTGCAAAATTTCATTTCAATCGGATAATAAAAGCCACCTGCATTTTGTTCACAAGAATACATGGATGGACAGACAGACGGACTGACATGATAAGTCGACTCAAAAAGTGATTTTATGAAGATCCTCAAAAGTATCTCGCTTTCATCTCCCTGTTACAAACAAATGCACAAAAACATAATACCCTTACCTCTATGTGGTATGGGGTATAAAATAACCAAAAAGACCGCTTTATTGATTCGCATGAGGGATACAATTCGACCAAAATATTCTTAGTATTTTTATCTGGTATATTGACCAGGGTGCTAAAAATCTAAAATAAATGGATTTCGGGCAATCTTAATCCTAAAATTTTCAAAAGTGTGGAAGATTGGAGAAATTTCCCGTAGATTGGATTTTCCCCGTAGTGATTTTAAAAAATTGATATTTGTCGCAAAGTATAATTCAATTCAAAATATCTCTCAATACTTCGTTTTTTGGGAAAAAAGTTTCTAGGGAAGAAATATTCTAGACTAAACCGAGTACATTGAAATCCATTTGGAATTTGGGACTTTTTGTGGGCTTCGTGGCGATAGAACACCTATTACAAACATTCTTCATGCGGAAGACCTTTTACAGGACTACCACAGAAAACAGCCCTTTTAAATATTTTCTATAAATGAAGATATTTTATAGATATTCGCACCTTTTTCCCCTTTTACCAAATGTTCTATAACTACAATATTTTGAATTTTAGAAAATGTCGGAGGTCTGTTTTTTGTTTTTAATTTAAAAAGTTCAGAAGTCCCCGTTCTATTTGAATTCTGTTTACAATGTTTCCTTTATCCTCTTTACATCTTTTTCCCATTTAATTATTCAACAAATGTCTGCAGTCTCTCCAAACCTCCATCCCCCCTCCATAAAATCTCCAGACATTACACAAGAATCAATAAATCAATCGAAGAGACTACATTTCATTAGAATTTTTTTTTCCTTTTTTCGCCAATTATAGCAATTAATTATGCACAACCTAGTTTTACTCGTAATCTATTCTCATTTTCAGCGAAAATCTATGTAATTTTTGTTTTCCTCTAATTTTCTTTCTTTTTCATTGCGTTTTTTTTTTTTTGTTCTCTTCTTCCCTTATTTTCAGCTAACACAACGTTTAGCCAAATTGGCGGGTCTTAATAAGCCAGGGGCTGGCGATTTTGGCGGCGGTTTGGGTGGTACTGCCGGCGGTGGCAGTCGTGCTGGCAGTCGCATGAACTCAATACGTGGCTCGAAAAGGAAAGTTGATTTGAAAGCACTTGATAAGCTGGTAACAAATTTGTTGGAACAACAGGAACAAGTAACAACAACGACAACTGGCAGCGAATTGGGTGCCTCATCCATATATGCCTCAACGCCGGCAACAAATCGCAAGGCATCTATGAAATTAAATCGTTGGCGTCCTACATCACGTTCGGCACATAGTTTTAATATCACAGAGGGTTCAACTAATTTCGGTGCAGATCACACAACGTCGGCTGGTGGTAGTGGCAGTGGTAGCGGCGGTGGTGGCGGCAATGGAGACCTACAGCATATGCCCACGATTATGGAAAGCACGGCTGGCAGTAGCAGCATGACTTCGACGAAAAATAATAATGAAACTTCAACTGCGGCCCGGCCACGTTCGCAGCGTACTTCATGGTCGAGTTCATTGGAACGTACTCCGGGTGCTGTGCGTAATGTTTTAAGGAATATGACGACGACGAATCCGGACAATGAGGAAAATCTTAATTTAACACAAAATTATATAGCTTAGAATTAACAGCATACAAACGCACATACATATACGAATATATTTATGAATGAGTAGAAGAAATATTGTAGATAGAGAAAATGTTAGGAAACGAAGGAAGAATGTTACAATAAAGAAGAAAATGCAAAATTAAAGAGGGATGCACAGGGAATTATCCCGGTATTGAAAAATATATATCTGGAAAATATTTTTTGGGGTCGAGATTTAAAATCCTAGAACCTTTCGAACGAACATTTCTAATTTGCAAGGCTATTTTTTGAAAGGTCATTGAGATGTTCCTTTCATTTTTTTAGAACTGCCTTTAACGCCTAATGTAGTTTTCAGGAATTTTTAAAATTAGTTTTTGAAAGTTGAAATCATAATCGGGAATTTTATACTTGGTAATCGATAATTTAATTTGAAGCAACTTTTGAAAGTTCGTCAGAGGTCAAACTTCATTTTGAATACCAATTTGGAGGTAAATTCCGCCCTTTTAGGAATCCAATTTTGGAAAGTCTCTTACGACAATAATCATGATTTTTTTTTTGGTAGGTCTTTGGTGATTTAGACAAAAAGTGAAATAAAATCATGGATCTCTAAAATTAATTATTGAAACACCTCTGAGATGACAGCTGCAGATTTAAGAACCTCAGTTTTGGAAGAAGGTATTTAACTAATTTGTAAAAGACAGATTTTTTTCGATGATCCTTAAAGTCCAATTTTTTGAATAATCCTTTGGATTATAACCATGGATCTAAACATGTTTATTGAGAATTCTTGCGAATACAACTAAGGATTTTAAGAATCTATCTCTTAAAAATTCCATGACACGGTGATTGTAGATACGCGAATTTAAGCTCGCATCTATAGATGTATAGAGACTTATCCTTCAGCTCGTCTTTATAGAGAGACTCATTCTCCAGCTCGTCTCAGGGACTCATCCCTCAGTTCGTTTCTATAGAGAGAATCATCCTTCAGCTCGCCTTCAGAGTTGGTTCGGCCTTCAGCTGGTCCATAGAGACCTGGCCTTCAGCTGGTCCATAGAGACCCGGCCTTCCGCTGGTCTAAAGAGACCCGGCCTTCAGCTGGTCCATGAGATCCGGCCTTCAGCTCGTCTATTGAGATTCGGCCTTCAGCTCGTCTATTGAGACCCGGCCTTCGTCTCGCGTATAAGGGCCCATCCTTTCTCCCGTCCTTCATCGCGTCTATGAAGACCCCTCCCTTAACCCCCCTGTAAAGACTCGTCCTTCATTTCTTCTCTAAAGACCCGTCCTTCATCTTGTCTATAAAGACTAGTCCTTCATCTCTAAAGACTGGTCCTTAATCTCATCTATATAAACACGTCCTTCATCTCTGTAGAGACTCCCTTCCGCTCATCTATAGAGACTCACTTGCGCTCGTCTATAAAGACTCCCTTGCGCTCGTTTATAGGGACTCCCTTGCGCTCGTCTATAGGGACTCCCTTGCGCTCGTCTATAGGGACTCCCTCCCTCTCGTCTATAGAGAATCCCTTCCGCTCGTCTATAAAATTTCGTAGAGTCTCGTCTCTCGCTTACCTTTAAGACTTTCAGTTGGTCTATGGAGACTCGGCCTTCAGTTGATTTGTGGAGACTCGGCCTTCAGTTGTTCTATGGAGATTCGGCCTTGGTGTATGGAGCCTCAACCTTCAATTGATCTGTGGGGACTCGGCTTTCAGTTGGTCTGTAGAGTCGTCCTTCTGTTGGATTATGAGAGACTCGGCCTTCTGTTGGTATTTAGTGACCCCGCCTTCGGCTGGTTTATAGGGACCACGCCTTTAGCTGGTCTATAGAGACTCTCTTCCGTTCGTCTATAGAGTCTCTATTCCGTTCGTCTATAGAAACTCTTTTCCGTTCGTCTATAGAGACTCTCTTCCGTTGGTCTATAGAGACTCTCTTCCGTTCGTCTATAGAGACTCTCTTCCGTTCGTCTATAACAACTCGTAGAGTCTCGTCTCTCGCTTGTCTTAAAAGCACCCCAAGGTAACCCAGGATACACATTACTGGAACCTCGGCTCCGTTCGTCTATAGAGACTCCCTCATCTCAAAAAGGGTAGAATAATTCCCCAGCAAGAAAAATATACGAAATCCAATAAAGTCTTGCCTCCCTGCCCAATAAAAATTATCATGGTTAAGGTAAGTTATGCTCCAGCGACTTATTGAGTAGATTCCTGGCAATAACGGAAAAGAAAACACCACAACCCTCCATAAGGGACAAGTTAAATGGAAACTGCCGTTGCCATGGGTGGTGTTTGTTTTAACAACTCTACTTTAAGGACTCTTATAAAAAAATAAAAAAATCCATAATTTTAAGGGCGAAATAAAAAAGCAGGGCAGAGAAATCAAGTGAGAAAGTTGGTTACCATGAACGAAATTTTATGAGAGTAACAAGTTTCCTTCGAAGATGTAGGTACGTATGGTTGTAATTTTATTTTAATTAAATATTGCCGACCGCTGATGATGTATAACTAGCATGAGGCCATAAATTGCTAGCCTGTTATAATATTAATTAAGGAAATAGCTTTCTCCAATGGTCCGCTGAAAGGTAAATAATTAAGTGGAGGTGGGTTGGTGGAAAGATGAAGTTAAGAATTTCATGAAAACTGAATAGCTGATAATAAGATAACAAATATCTTATTTCCTTTCAAGTAATTAAAAATATTTTTTTCGTTTCTTCGCTGGAAAACAATGCCCACAACGAAAGTGTATACAATTTCAATAGAAACATTCGTGGTCCATTTGAGACGCTAAAGCTGAGAATTTGATTGTTTCCTTGGGTTGAAAGGATATAGCCTGCGAAAAATTCTACAGTTATCTACTTACATGCCGTTCCAAAGTCAATGGTAGTTGTTCCTTGGTTTTATGTTGCTGCTGCTGTTCATGGTCAACGTTGCGATAATATGCCGTTAGATTGGCGCCCAAACGTATTGTCACCTCATAACGTGTTTTACCGGAGCGTGCTAAGATTTCAAAGAGATTCGCATTGGTAATATAATATTATTAAATGTAAAAAAAAAAATAACTGTACCTGAAGTTCTGCTTGGTTTAGGTAGGGAATTTTCAAAATCACATTCACGATGACAATCAAGGGCGGAGGAGTTGGCAGTGCAACCTAAAACGAGGGGAAAATTATAATTAAATTTTTAAAGGTACCAGTTGGGATAGGAGAAGAAGACAAAAGATAATAAAGAATTAAGGAAAAATAAAATTAAGATTAAAATTGGGGTGACAAGCTGAAGGACTAGTCACTCTATGGACAATATGAAGAGAGAGTCTCCTCCATAGACTACTTCTTATATAGACGGGCTAAAAACGAGCCTCTTCTATAGACGAGCTGAAAGACGAGTATATATAGACGAACATAAGAGAGAGAGGAGAGTCTCTATAGACGAACAGAGGAGAGTCTCTATAGGCGAACGGAAGAGAGTCTCTATAGACGAACGGAAGAGAGTCTCTATAGACGAACGGAAGAGAGTCTCTATAGACGAACGGAAGAGAGTCCCTATAGACGAACGGAAGAGAGTCTCTATAAACGAATGCAAGAGAGTCTCCATAGATAAACGGAAGAGAGTCTTTATAGACGAACGGAAGAGAGTCTCTATAGACGAACAGAGGAGAGTCTCTATAGACGAACGGAAGAGAGTCTCTATAGACGAACGAAATAGAGCCACTATAGACGAACGGAAGAGAGTCTCTATAGACGAACGGAAGAGAGTCTCTATAGACGAACGGAAGAGAGTCTCTATAGACGAACGGAATAGAGTCCCTATAGACGAACGGAAGAGAGTCTCTATAAACGAATGCAAGAGAGTCTCCATAGATAAACGGAAGAGAGTCTTTATAGACGAACGGAAGAGAGCCTCTATAGACGAACGGCAGAGAGTCTCTATAGACAAACGGAAGAGAGTCACTATAGACGAAGTGAAGAGAGTCTCTATAGACGAACGGAAGAGAGTCTCTATAGACGAACGGAAGAGAGTCTCTATAGACGAACGGAAGAGAGTCTCTATAAACGAATGCAAGAGAGTCTCCATAGATAAACGGAAGAGAGTCTTTATAGACGAACGGAAGAGAGTCTCTATAGACGAACAGAGGAGAGTCTCTGTAGACGAACGGAAGAGAGTCTCTATAGACGAACGAAATAGAGCCACTATAGACGAACGGAAGAGAGTCTCTATAGACGAACGGAAGAGAGTCTCTATAGACGAACGGAAGAGAGTCTCTATAGACGAACGGAATAGAGTCCCTATAGACGAACGGAAGAGAGTCTCTATAAACGAATGCAAGAGAGTCTCCATAGATAAACGGAAGAGAGTCTTTATAGACGAACGGAAGAGAGCCTCTATAGACGAACGGCAGAGAGTCTCTATAGACAAACGGAAGAGAGTCACTATAGACGAAGTGAAGAGAGTCTCCATAGACGAACGGAAGAGAGTCTCTATAGACGAACGGAAGAGAGTCTCTATAGACGAACGGAAGAGAGTCTCTATAGACGAACGGAAGAGAGTCTCTATAGACGAACGGAAGAGAGTCTCTATAGACGAACGGAAGAGAGTCTCTATAGACCAGCTGAAGGCGCGGTCCCTACAAACCATCTGAAGGCGTGATCTCTATATACCAGCTGAAGGCGGGGGTCACTATAGACCAACAGAAGACTCAACCAGTTGAAGGTCGAGTCTCCATAAACCAATTGAAGACCGGATCTCCATGGACCAACTGAAGGTCGAGTCTCTATAGACGAACAGAAGACCGAGTCTCTATAGACAAACAGAAGACCGAATCTCCATAGACAAACAGATCGCCGAGTCTCTATAGACCAGCTGAAGGCCGGGTCTCAATAGACCAGCTGAAGGCCGGGTCTCGATAGACCAGCTGAAGGCCGGGTCTCTATAGACCAGCTGATGGCCGGGTCTCTATAGAATAGGTGAAGGCCGGGTCTCTAAAGACCAGCTGAAGGCCGGGTCTCTATAGACCAACTGAAGTTTGAGTCACCATAGACCAGCTGAAGTTCGAGTCTCCATAGACCAGCTGAAGGTCGAGTCTCCATAAACAATCAGAAGACCGCCTCTCCATAGACGAGCTGAAGGTCGAGTCTCCATAGACCAACAGAAGGA